CACGCTATCAACTTCTCATGAACTGAAGGTATATTCTCGATTTAAACGTTAAATTTGTTTCAACTAAACATTCAAGATGAAATCATTTGGTTTTATATTATAATTAATTGAAAAAATATTTGTCAACTTTTAAACTTTGATACTCCCAATGAAAACAAAATTTTGAAGATTAATTAAAAAAGCTATAACACCAAATTCGTTGCATAGAAGTTACAAAAGAATTATAATTAACTCTTACCGAAAATTAAAATGAAAACATAAAAGAGAGTGCTACATTTAGTAATAAATGTAGCACTTTATTTTTTGTTTACCTTAAACTGAAGAAAATTGCAGGAAAGATTTATATTTTAAATAATTAGAGTTGTGACTTCATGACTTCAAGATTTCTTTAAGAAATAAAAACAAAATGATTTATACTTCTAAAATGTAACCGGATTAATTTGCTAACCCTAACATTTAAGCGCAAAATCAAAATTAGAGTCGCTACGTCGTCACAATGTTGCCTTGAACAAATATTGGACCTTCTCCTTGTGTTCGTTTTTGAGTGTGTTCCCTTGAGACTATCATAAACCACTAGTTGTAATATTTTTAAATTTGACGTAAAAAATACGATAAATGTCTGTTTTTTTTTGAGTTCATTGTTTGGTCGAGAGTAATCCAATCAAGAGGATAGGTTGATGGCTATAGAATAACCATAATATGCCCAGTGCATAGCTTGTTGATTGCTTCCAGTACATTTTAACGGCAGTTTAGCTTTCAATTAATTCATTATTTTAGTGATCTAAACAAATACAGAAAAGACATGCAAACACAAGTGGTTACTTAGCTCGTTACTCATAGTTTTTGATATAAATGCAATAACCACAAATAAAAATATATGTCTTCAAACACAAATGATAGACTAAACATAAATAAATTTCATGGTGGCTAATCAAATTATGATGGAAAATAACAAAAATCATACTGCAAAGTACAGTTAACATTTTTTCTAAATAATTTTAACTCTTTCAAAACCTAAACAATTAATATTGTAAAAGCATTATAATTTATACATTCAAAGAACAATCATTCTACTTAGATAGAAAATAATAAATTTAATGAGATGGAATTTAAAGAATTTTGGCGGTTTAAATACGCAAAAACCCAGTTTAAATTCAGCGCCGGCTTAAATCTTGAAACATTTGATACAATTTTTAGTGGAACCAACCTTGTTTTCACTGCGGCTAATATTTAAACCGCCGCTCAAATTTTTTAAATTCGGCAACTGGTTACTTATCTCGTTACTCATATTTTATGATATAATTGCAATAACAACAAATACAAATATGTGTCTTCAATCACAAATGATAAGACTAAACATAAATAAATTTCATGGTGGCTAATGATATTGGCGAAAATCATACTGCAAAGTACAGTTAACATTTTTTCAAAATAATTTTAAATCTTTCAAACCTTAACAATTAATATTGTATAAGCAAAATAATTCATACATTGTAAGAACAATAATTGTCCTTGGAAAGAAAATAATAAACATTTTAACATTGAAAGTCGGTGATATTGAACCACGCCACTGACAGGTTTCCTGATGCTCTAGCACCCTAGTATTTGAAGTGATCCGGCTGGCAAACACATTTTTTTAATATTACAGAGCCAGTCAATCTGGTCCTAGAATCTTATCAAGATCCGTAAGTGTAGGCAGGCAGCCCAAAGTTTAGTACAGTTCCTAGAACTTTGAAAATTAGAAAAGTCCAAATTAATCCACTTTATGACTGCCGGTTGAAATGCCTGTTACTTTATTCATTGCCTCGCATAGAGTTTTCAAGGGATACAGATAACATATGCAAACAAAACTGGTTACTTAGCTCGCTACTCATATTTTTTTATATAACTGCAATAACCACAAATACACATATGTGTCTTCAATCACAAATGATAAACATAAATAAATTTCATGGTGGCTAATCAAGTTATGATGGAAAATAACTAAAATCATACTGCAAAGTACAGTTAACATTTTTTCTAAATAATTTTAACTCTTTCAAAACCTAAACAATTAATATTGTAAAAGCAACATAATTCATACATTGTAACAACAATACTTCTCCTTGGATAGAAAATAATAATTTTAACATTGATTGTCGGTGACAGGTGTCCTGATGCTCTAGCACCCTAATATTTCAAGCGATCCGGCTGGCAAAGCACATTTTTTTAATATTACAGAGCCAGTGAATCTGGTCCTAGAATCTTATCAAGATCCGTAAGCGTAGACAGGCAGCCCAAAGTTTATTACAGTTCCTAGAACTTTGAAAATCTGAAAACCAGTGCGATTGTGCTTTCTGAGCCATCGAAGATTAGGACGAGGTAACAATATTTTTTCACCCAGTCAATGTCCGTTCAAGTAGCCTGATAGAATTTTCACAACAGAAGTATGCAGTGTCCATTTCCATCACCTAAAATTAAACTTCATTAAAAAAGTGAAAAAAAAGAATAAGAAACAATAAGAAAAAAAGTTTGGTGGGTGGGGCAAAAACCAACTTGCAGATTTATTTTAATTAAGTAGTATTATGGTTAGTTTTGCTGCCACAAATTATTTCTTAATTTTGTAAAATTTCTATTTCCCTTGTTACACTTATCGCTTCAACAAATTCCCTATCCTCTTGCCCATTTACCCTTCCCTCTTGCTCATTTTGCTCTATGTATTCCCGTTTTCCATTCAATGTCCTAACACTCGCATTTTTGTCACTATCACCGTGATAAATAAAATACTTTTAATAAATGGTAATTTTAAGAATTTTTAGATATAAAAAATTGTTGTAATTTATAGGGTAATTTTTTCGTACTTGATTAGGTTGTCAAAAGCTGTTAAAGGTACTGAAGCAAACTCAACAAGCCATCTCTTGAAGTTTTATCTTCTTCTTACTCCTTCTCATCAAATGTGTCTAGAGGACGGGAAAACTCGTCCTGATCCTCATCCGCGTTCTCATCATCGTCATCATCCTCATCCTCGTCCTCGTATTCAGCATATAGTAAACTGCCTTATCAGTGAGTTTCAGGAGCTTCAAATTATCTTGGAACAAATAATATGATATATTTGGAGCATGAACTAATGGTGTATTTTTGGACCTACGCCCATCCCATTTAATGCCCATCCAACCTACAAGAACGTGGTTTTAACAGCTGTGGTAGGTCCGATGCAGTGTAGGTCGGATGTGCACGTTAAAAAAAGCATATTGGTGCATCCGACATACTATAAGCTGTCGCTTGGTCATCGTTAGTACATATGCTGGGCTGTTTTTGTAGGTCGGATTGGCACTTTTCGTAAGTCGGATGGTCATTTTTCGTAGGTCGGGTGGGCACTTTTCCTAGGTCGGATGGGCATTTTTTCGTAGGTGGGCTGGGCATTTCTTGTAGCAAGGCCAAAACATGTGGCCGCAGCGCTCGGCCCCCTAGCTTGTCCTAGCCGCATCTTACCTAACCTAACACAAAATATACACCAATTTTATTGACAACTGTTGAATTCAAGGTATTTCATAGCCGCAGCGCGCGGACCCATAGCCCTTCCTAGACGCAGCGCTCAGCCCAGGAATGAGCTTACCCTAACCTAACCCTAAATATACACTAATTTTATTTTTTAAAAATGTTGAATTAAAGGTCTTTTATGGCCGTAGCGCTCGGCCCCCTAACCAGTCATAGCCGCAGCGCTCGAGCCCAGAAATCATTACCTAACCTTCCATAAATATACACTAATTTTATTAAAAATTGTTAAATAATAGGTCTTTCATGGCCGCAGCACTCGTACCCCCCTACAAAAAGTGCCCATCCAACCTACAAAATATGCCCATCAACCCTACAAAATATGCCCATCCGACCTCAGAACAATGACCATCCGAACTACGAAAAATGCCCATCCGACCTACAAAGAGTGGCCATCCAACCTACGAAAAATGCCCATCCGACCTAGAAAAAGTAACAATCTGACCTAAAATTGAGTGGCCGTCTGACAGCTAAAATTAATTATTTCTGCCCTACTGTGCAATAGGCATGACAAAATAAGCTGCTGAATAGGTCGGATAGGCAAGAAATTATGCCCATCCAACCTACAGCTGTTGTAAATCAGATGTTGCAGTAGGTCGGATGGGCAGTATAGCGGATGGGCAATAGGACGGATGTGCAGTATAGCGGATCAACATTACCAATGAACTGAATGATTAATTCATTATACTGAAGGGATGTATCACATAAATTTCAGTTCACGTTCAGTTTTGTTGGGTCTGTCCTAGTGAACGATTTTTTGGACACCCACACCCTCATATCAATTTTGTACATGACCATTTATTTCTTAGCAGATTTATTATAAATTTTTTTGTTATTTAGGATTACGATAGGTTATAACACTTTTTGGGCCGATCGCAGCGGCTCGGACTGGCTATGGGGCCGAGCGCTGTGGCCACAGATTAGGTTAGTTAAGACACCTTCAGGGCCGAGCGCTGCGACCACGGGTTAGGTAAAGTTAAGACACTTCTTGTCAGACCCATGTACAAAATTGATAGGGGGGCCCAAAAATCGTTCTCTAGGAATATACGGTTTTGTTTTGTTTTAAATTGTAAAAAGTCGACCAAGTAATGTGGACAAATTTTTAAGGATTGATTTAACCTAAAAACATGTTTCTACGATATATAATAACCGAGTTCCAGTGCAAAGTCAATGTTAAAAATCACGAATTTGGGTGGGTACGTTTTTGGAATCAGTAGTTTTTTAATTATTAAATGACGACAAATGTGAACAAAATTAATTATTAAGCAACAATTTTCGTCGTGGTTATTTAATAGAAAACGATTCGGTAATTTCCTAGTACACGATTTTTGGACCCCCCCCCATCCTATCAATTTTGTACATGGGTGTGACAGGAAGTTTCTTAACTTNGTGCGGGGGGTGGGTGTTGGCGGGAGAGGGGGAGAGGTTGTGTTCGCAAACTAAATTTAGTTTATCTTAAAAATAATTTTAAGTGTTACAAGTATGCCTAATATTAGAAAATGTGCTCGTTCTTTTGTTTCAAAGATTGTAAAAAAGAAATAATTAATTCTTAAAATAAATTAAATAAAGGATCTTTAAAACTATTTTTAAAAAACCAAGTACATTTGAAGTACATTTTTATGGTTATAAATACATTTCAGAGCAAAATGTAAAAACAATGAAAACAAGTTATTGTTCATTTTAGTAGTAAACTTTTAATTACAATGAAACTACCTGTAGTGCGAGAATTTTTTATCATATTTTACCAAATGTGAGCAATCACATTTTAATATTTTATTACTAATTTGTTTTTAATAAAAAAATAATTCCAACAAAGTTCATACCAAGCCAATTTACGAAGATTGTAAAAACTACGTAAACTTTTGAACAAGATAAATCGCTGTTTGATAGGCTAAAAATGTTAAACACACTTATGAATATTACACTATGCAATACTCTTACCCATTACTCGGCTAGCAGCCAAATTCAAGTCATCCTTTGATTCAGCAACAATCTTTCTGACCTCATTCCTCTGAAGATTATAAAATTTATTTGCGGATACATCATTAGTTAAAGGAACTGAGTTTTTGCCACAAACTCAAATATTCTTATCCCTATATCTTGACAACCCAATGTCGTAGACCTTAGATATTTCAAACTATTAATTCTGTTAGATAAAATAATCTAAGTTTGAAATATGAAAGGGTTAAACCCACTGGTCGCAGAGATATAGAAATTAGAAAATTTGAGGTTGTGGCAAAAACTCAATTCCTTTACAATATTTCAAAACAAGGTAATTACAGAGGCCTACATTTGACAATTAACACTTGAATTAATAATTTAATGCGCAAGCAGTGAGAAGCTTCCCACCAACCCCCTCCCCACCCCCTAAGTTATAAAATCATCTTTACAACATTATAAATTAAAGTTAGGATTTATTTTATTCACTACTTATATTCAGTATATAAATGATTCGAACATATTCTATGTTCTCATTTGCGAGGGTGTGATTGGTTACGAAAAAACGGGATGGTTTAAAAACAAAGATTTCTTAGCATAGCAACTGACTATTAACATTAATAAAAAGTGTGAATGACAAAATATTACCGTGACATTGTCACTAAGAGCCATTAAGATGTCTAACTCTTCTCGTTAGTTTAGTTCTGTAAAAAAGCATTGTAATTAAAGGTAACATTTTAAGATAAGTGAACAGGATAAAGTACATTGAATATAATTTAAACAGTACAGGATTGTTATGATACATGATGATGAACAAAGTCCATAGATACATTTCAAGGAGGTGTGTATATTATTGTAATTGCTGAATTTTATATGCTTAAGGGTGTTTTAAGAGAAACAAAATTGATTAAAGGGGAAAATTTCAAGTGAATGATAATAATGATAACGGAACTAATTATGAGGATTATTCAAAAAACTTAATTATTATTTCATCTTGTAGTTTTTGCAAACCCAATAATTTCAGAAACATATATAATTAAGAAATAATTTTTCAACAATTAGTAAATTATGATTAGGGAAAAAGTAATGTAATGTCATAGTTTTTGTTCACACAGCAACATTTTAACAAAATTTCACATCTTTTTTAAAATTGACAAATGATTTAGGTCCATTTAAACTAGCTGTGTATATTATTGTGTTGACAAAAATTTAAGATGCTTAATGTGTTTAACGCAAATAAAATAATGCATTAAAGAGTCAAAGGGGAAACGTTAATGTTTCATAATATTGATAAACAAAAAAGTCTGAAAGTGTCACAATAAGTTTATCCAAAAGGGCATTAATAAGTTCAAAGAATTATAATGGCTAAATGACGTTTTTACTTGTGAAGACTAAATTAAGAAATTTCATCAACATGAAAATTACGTTCGTAATGCACCAAACCCCAATTAATTACAACTCCTGGAAAATTCTTAAACTTAGTGTTTAAGGTTCATGATACTTTAGACAAAGCCAATTTTTAGTTTATAATGTTAAACTTAAGGAACCAAATTTTATTCCATTTAATAGTTACACTGATCTTAACTTCATTTATTTTAAATATTTAATGAATAAATATTTAGATACCTTCAAATCCTGTTTTCTTTCCTGCCATCTTGTTTACTTAATCTGAAAAAAAGTAATTATTGAATCCAACACATGTATAGTTATATCACTCCTTCAATTTTAGTTTTATCATTCCGTCAGGTTTACTTTTATCTCTCCGCCAGGTTTAGTACAGGACCTTTTTTAGTTTCTGAACGCTCTCATGGCTGAGCGACTGCCAGCCATCTGGTATAAATCAAGCATTGATTTATCCAAAGATTTCTTCGTCCTCTTCTTATCCTTCTCTGCAAGGTTCTTGTTCTGACCCTTCTTCCTTTTCTTATCCTTCTGTCCTTCTCTCTCAACCTCTGGATCATTGTCTTCATCATTCTTTTTATCCTTCTCTTCATTCATCTCTGCATCGATGTCTTCATCATTCTTTTTATCATTTTCTTCATTCTTCTCTGCATCATTCTCTTCATCATTCTTGTCATAAATCTCTTCATCCTTCTCTGCATATATGTCTTCATCCTTCTCTGCATAAATGTCTTCATTATATATTCCATCATTCTCTTCAGCCTTCTCTGCATCCTTCTCTGCATCCTTCTCTTCATCTTTCTCTTGATCTAATTCTTCATTCCTTTCTTCATCCTTCTCTTCATCAGTTTCTGCATCCGTCTCTGCATCCTTCTCTGCATCCTTCTCTGCATCATTCTCTACATCTTTCTCTTGATCTTATTCTTCATCCTTCTCTTCATCAGTTTCTTCATTCTTTTCTTCATCAGTTTCTTCATCCTTAGTTTGATAATTATCTTCATCTTTCTCGTCATCCTTAACAGTAACGATTGATTTAAAAGTGTTGATTTTTTATTCTTATTTAACCCTTACTGCACAAAATTTAATGTTAACAACATCAACAGCAATTTATAATTGAATCATTTGTTATTATTAGTTGTTTTAATTATGTTAAGTAACTAATAGCCATTAATATGATGACAATAAACATGTGGGGACTCGTAAAGTTAGTGTTATTTTAATATTGATAAATCTTAAAGGGAGTGTTTGCGAAAAATGAAAGGGGGTATAGGGTTAATGCGATAAAAAAGCGCTTTTGATCGCTACTAATCTTACTTCTATCTGTTGCGTCTATAAGGAGAAAATTGATAAAGACGTCTCATACCGAAGAGCGTAGCGCCCATACAAATTGAGGAAGTTGGAGCATACCACTTAGTCCGTAAAAAAATCAAATTAATATCAAACAAATCATTCAGATATTACAACCTATAGTCATCGATTATCTTTCGCCACACTTGATATTTCATATATTTGATATTTCATACTAGTTTTGATATGGTTTTTTAAAATAATATTTAGCTTACAACTTGTTTTCGAACATTCCTGGAAAATATGAAAATGTCGTCTTCATTACCAAAAATCCTCGTAACAGGAATAAACGTTTTTATAAGTAACTCTCAGATCATAACAATTAAAACATATTATGAAAAATCAACTATATACAAATGTGGCGAAAGATAATCGATGACTATAGGTTGTAATATCTGAATGATTTGTTTGAAATTAAATTGATTTTTTTACGGTCTAAGTCGTATGTTGCATCTTTCTCAATTTGTATGGACGCCATGTTATTCGGTATGAGACGTCTTTTACAATTTTCTCCTTATAGACGCAACAGATAGAAGTAAGATTAGTAGCGATCAAAGGCGCTTTTTTATCGCATTAAGCCTATACCCCCTTTCATTTTTCGCGAACACTCCCTTTAATTATGATTAATCTTAATCTTGTTTTAAATATTTTTATATAAGGAACTAACCCTACCAACAAACTAAACTATCTAATCCCAATGTCTATCCAACCTGCTGTTGTCTACCTTTAAATATTTCAAACCATGAATTCTTGATAATCAAATAGTCAATATTTAAAATATCTTTAGTCTACACGATAAAGTTTTGAAGATAACGAAATTAGATAATATTTTTTGTAATTGTAATTCTTTATCGTTGTGAATGTGGAAACCTTATGGTCATTTTAAATAACAACGACAGTCACTTAGAACATGACTGGCAGACAATGTGGGAGGAACATCATACATTTGACATTCAAATCATTCTCAATTTTTTTGATAGGGACAGAGATTCGATATATTAATTGTGGATAGGAAGACATTAACATTATTATGAGTTGATACTGAGGTGCTTGTTGATTTGTTACATGTCTTGCTACCGAATTAACAAAGTATGAGACTTCAGAGAAACTGCAAAATTTAAACTGTTTATTTACTTATAGATCGTATTTCTAAATTTATTTCTCTATAATTTTTAAATGACGTTTTGAAATATTTACTCTCATACTTTGAGGGTAACTCTGAAATAAATAATAGATATTAACTTACTATTGAATTAGCATCTAAAACTGCTTCAGCAGAGTGTTTGAGTTGCATGTGTCTAAAGCAAAAATGTGTATATGAACGAGTAATTGTTGTATGTGTGCATGTTTCATCATAACACAAATACCAATTATTCGATTTGCATTAGAGTTTATTTTGTAAAGGAATGGATTTTTAGTCACAAACTAATATTTTCTAATTCCATTTAACTTAACAATCCTTATTCATAGACCTTTGATATTTCAAACTATTAATTATACTAGATCAAATAGTCTAAGTTTGAAATATCAAAGGTTTTCACCAACACTTTGTAAAGATAAAGGGGTTAGAAAATATAAATATCTTGCATAAAATCAATTCCGTTATAGAACAAGGGAAATGAATGTCTTTGGTTGCTTAAGATATCTATAGTTTGAGTTGGCTTCCTTAGAGCACTTATATAGTTTATAATGAAAAATGTGTACCACTGTTAATTTTATTCTATAAACTAAAGAAATTAAGTCTTTGTCACAAACTCTGAATTTATAATCCCATTATGTTTGGAACCCAATGTCGTAAATCTTTGATATATCAAACTTATATTATTTGTGCTAACATGCTTGATACTTTTAATTATTGGAATCTCAAAATATATAGTTCTCAAAAGCATAATTTGTGTCAAAGACTCAATTCCTTTAAAATTAAATATTTTTTAAGCATCTTATTTAATTTTTATTTTTATGATATGAATTAATTGTCAAAATTTAATCTAAAGAATATAATGTTCAGTAATTCAGTGGGCGCCAATCTTTGCAACAGTGTAAACAAACTTCCAATAACTGTAGAAACATATGAGAATGAAATAACATTTCACTTACGTTTAAAACGTACATATTACCTCTTGAGATTACTTTTCTCTTTATATGTTTTCTTGCATATGATGCAACAAATCTGGTTGATCCTTATGTAGTCATTTCTAAATAGAAGTGCAGCTATTTTATGACAACAGTAAAAATAACAGTCAAATTCAGTGGCCGAATTTAAAGAATTTAAGCGGCGGTTTAAATTTAAGACGCGGTTTAAATATGGTTGGTTCCACTTAAAATTGTATAAAATGTTTCAAGATTTAAGCCGGCACTAAATTTAAACCGGGTTTTGTCGGATTTTTGCGGATTTAAACTGCGGCTCAAATTCTTTAAATTCCATCTCAGCACGGTGTTAATTCAAAGATTATCACGGTTGATCTCTTGACAGTCAATTTGTGGAATTAGGACACTTTTAATTTTGAACAATATTACATGTCTGAGAAGGATGGTTGATACAATATTGCTTTTAATTTTCCAAGTAAAAATTACAAATATAAAGAGACAAGGGAAAAATTCCAATGATATAAACATACCGAGTAACAATATCTCTTCTTCTAGCCTTTGCCAGGCCAACCTTAGACAGGGTCAGACCATGATGAAAAGCTGATTTAAAAAAACTAATTTTTTAATTTATATATGTATATAACCCAATGTCGGATATCTTAGATATTCGAACAATTAATTTTTTTAAATCAAATAATGAAATTTTCAAATATCAAAGGTTTACGACATCAGGTTGGACAAACTCAATTTATTTTTTAAAAAAATTAAATCATTAATTCAAGTAAATTGATAGGAGTTGCTTTCCCAGTGAATGATCTGTAATGTCCTATATATTTCACTGTACATCTTCACTTAAAACATGAAGAACTTGTTGTCCAAAGGACTTGAGCCTTTCGCACTAACTGTGATTTTCTAATTTTTATATATTGACAATCCAATATCGTAGACCATACATGTTTCAAACTATGAATTCTGTTAAATCAAATAATCTGAGTTTTAAATATCTAAGATCTACACGATCAGGAACATAGGTATAGAGATTAGAAATTTTTAGTTTTAGGCAAGGACTCAATTTCTTTGTTTAAAAAAACCTAATAAACTCTAAGTGGACGAATGAATCATATCAAAAGAACGTTCATAAATAACAAAATTAATATACTGTAAGTGATAAAAAACATGGTTAATTAATTGTTTTATGTGTTGAAACACAACTTTTAAAAATGTTAAGAGATTTAAAGAACAATTAATAATAATTACTAAACAATGTGTCGTCCCAATGAAGTTTGATTAACAACATTATCGCAAAACCGACATTTTTTTTTATTCCGGGTACCATTTTGATCTTGAAATTAATTTAAAGTAAAATTAGGTTAACCTAAAATTAAAAGCAATAAATACAAGTGCATATAATAATGTGGAGGTTCGTTTACTGAATGAACAAGAAATTTAAATTGTACTAAAGGTAAAAGTGTTTGTAAAAACGAATTAAGAACATATGAACCTATATTAAGGCAAATGAACGAAACTAAGTTAAATCAAACAAAATCTTAAATTCCAGCATTTTGCACATTTACAATAATTATTTAAAATAAACATATTTTTGTGTAAATAACAAAAATAATAAATCGTACTTAAACAAATTGAGTCTTTGCCAATAACTAAAATTTTATTATCATTATATATTTGCAACCTGATACTGTAAACTTTTGATATTTAATACTTATAGTATTTGATGTAACAGAATTTACATTTAAGGGCTACGACATTGGGTTTGAAGGATATAGGGATTAAAGAATCATAGTTTGTGGTAAAGACTCAATTCCTTTAATATTTAACAATATTTTACATTAAACCTAATTATTACAAATGAAAATTTGCATTCAAACTAAAATTAGAAATGTCTCCATTTTCAATATAAATTATAATTATTTATAGGAAAAAAATAGTTCTTTTAAAAAATTAGGTTTGAAATGTTAATTTTCCCTAATGTTTATTATTATTAATTTTACTATTAGCCGTTGTTGCTTTAAGAAGAAATGTTAAAAACGTTTTTTAAATATCGGCAATAAAATTAACAATCCCATAAGAACACACTGACATTTAATTCTCCTGAGTTCCAATAAAGATGAAAATTTGTATTATATTTTTTGTTTTTGTAAAAACGTTTACCACGCCATGCAGGTGTATTTGCTGTCAATCTTCAGGATATTAACGTAAGAGATATCAATCCACACGTGGTCATACCTGACAACTCGTTATTTCAAATTCAGACCATAATTTTATGGGAAATGTAAAAATTAATTTAAATTGAAAATTTGATGGAAGGTTATTTTTTTCTAAATTTATAATTGAATACAAATTAACTTAAAATCGGCAATGAATTAATTTAATGTAACAAGAAACATGTTAAACATTGTTGGTAAAATGTTCACTCAGAGACCATTTTTATTGGTGTATTTCATGATACCCTGATGTCAGTTAAACAAATCATAATATATCTTATCAGAATAATAACAAAATATAAAGAGACATACAATCTCATTAGCACCGAACAATATAGTTTAATAAATGCATCATTGAGGGAGGGTGGGCTTTACGGCAATGAAACCGCAATATCCTGTTAGAAACCCAGTTAGTCCGCAGAACCCTAAATTATTAATATTTTTTAATATAAAAATTATATACTTTGTACACACTTCTGATGAATAGTGGAGAGCTTGAATGATAAATAATAAGTTGCAATATACAGTTATATATACATATTCCTTATACCTCTTTATCACTGCGGTCAGGTCATTTAAAGAAATTATAAAATTTAGCAAGTCAAAATTTAACACTTAAAAAGAGTTTTGAAGCATTGATTTTTATCTTAAAACTAAGAGAATTATGTTACATATTCCCGCATGTTTCAACTTTTGATTTTTTTCCTTTTTAAAGTCAATTATCATTAAAAGATTATTTTTTAAACAGTCTTTGGTTGGTGTTAGAACAGGATTCCGCGAGGTAAAAATAGGGTTCTGCTAACTACCTGGGTTCGAACAGGATATTGCGGGGTTCATGGACCCATGGTCCCCCTCTCTCCATCCTTAAGGCTGTAGAATAAGGAAAATTGTTTCGAAAAGCATGTATATACAAATGAAATAAAAAGTAAAGATATATAGAATAGATGTAATCAAAACGTTTCTGAACTGCATTTTTCAATACCATCATTTAAAAATGTAATAAAAGGTTCCAGAAGTTTTAAATATCCAAGGTGTACACAATTTTGTTAGAAAGATATAGGGCTTAGAATATTTAAATTTGTGGCAAAGACTCAATTCCTTTGTGAACAAGAATTAATAACTTTGGGGGGGGGGGGGGGGGCAGAATCTTGGCCCCCTCCCTATATCCAACCCCCTAAAGACTCCTCCGATCCTCAGCAATAGACAATTAGTCTACTTTTTATGATTTTAAATATTAATTAAATTAGATGTTATTGCTTTAAAGAAATAATTATCCCATGCTGAAATCTTTAATCTACATCGGTTAATAATCTGGATATTAATAACAAGAGGAGAACAATCATTATTTAATATGTAGAGTAAGATAAAGAGGAGATCAAACATTGCTTTGGATATTTGCAACTTTATTTTTTTATGGCTCTGAGCTTGTAACTTTTTAATGTTGGATATTGTGATTAATGCTTTTTCTTAACCAATATTTATTAATGCTTGTTTTCCTGTTGTTTTAAATTTCAAGTTTAATTAACCGAAGGTGATTTTTGATATCCAAAAGTTTTAAGTTCAGGTTTCATTAAAACCAATATCTAAGATTTTCAAAAGACTTAAGGAAAGTATTATTTGTGCACGGGTTTGTATCAGGAAGAGCATGGTTGGATATTTGGAATAGAAGAGGGAACCGATAAGTTATCAAGGACGGAGGTTGAATATTAAGGAAAATTATGTGCATTGCAGGGTTTGTTATAACATTAATGTATCACCTAGAAGTTTTTCATTTATAAAAAAAAGTTAAGGATATTCTTTAATTTTTTATCTATAAATACGTTATGGTACAGTGACTAGGTATTTAAATGATAGATGTCAATTAAATCATTGGTTTATTATTTCTTAATTATATCTAACTTAGATAATAACCCATTAGTTTAATCAGTCTGGACTGAAATGAATGCCTTAGTACATATAGAAACATTTTGATGCCAGAATTGTTTATTTTTAATAAATTTAATATTCAAAAAAAAGTTATTAAACATATTTACTTAATCACATTTTATGTCAATCGTAACGATAAAAAAATTTATACTTGAAGTGAAAAACTTAATCGAGTATTACATTATTTTATCATTTATAAAACCTTAACACTTTAATTATTAATATTTAGAACACGCTTATCAACTTCTCATAAATTGAAGGTATATTCTCGATTTTAAACGTTTAATTTTTTCAAATAAACCTTCAAGATGAAATCATTTGGTTTCATATTAAAATTAATTGAAAAAATCTTGTCAACTTTAAAAATTTGATATTCCCAATGAAAACAAAATTTTCAAGATCAGTTAAAAAAGCTATAACACCAAAATTGTTACATAGAAGTTACAAAAGAAATTATATTAACTCTTACCGAAAATTAAAATTAATACATAAAAGAGAGTGCTACATTTAGTAATAAATGTAGCACTCTCTTTTTTGGTTAAACTGAAGTAAATTGCAGGAAAGATTGATATTTTAAATAATTAGAGTTGTGGCTTCATGACTTCAAGAGCTCTTGAAAAAAAAACTAAAATGGTTTATACTTTTAAAATGTAACCGGATTAATTTGCTCACCCAACATTTAAACGCAAAATCAAAATTAGAGTCGCTATGTGGTCACAATGTTGCCTTGAAACGTCGCAAATATTGGACCTTCTCCTTGTGTTCAGTTTTTAGGGTCTACTCCATTGCCCCTGAATGGGTGTGGCATAAGTATACCCGCAGGCAGGTAGGCGTGAGGAGCAGGACTGCCTCCGTACTGCGTTGTTTCTGTTTGCTTTTGATAATAAGGCGCTAGTCCATAATTTGTCGGAGCAGCCACGGCAAGAGTATATAGTGGCTGTGCGATGGGCTGTTGAAAGTACTGTGGATGGGTTTGCAGTGGGGGAGCAGAGCTGTAGTTCCATAAAATCATATTATTGTTCATTTATTATTTATTGTCTAGTGATTAAATAAATTCATAATTATATAAATAATATAAGATTTTTATATTATAACTTTAGTACCTTGATGACCTGGATACGCATAAGTTGGAGGAGATTGGTGGAATCTTGCGACTCTAGTCTACATAATACAAATAAAGAAATTTTTATTTTATCTAATTACATTTTTAAAAATTAATTAGGTTTAAAAGGTTTACTCAAGGATATGGACAATTTGACCAATTTCTTATTCTTGCTACTGTATGTCATCTCTATCGCTACACTGTGCGGGTACAATGCAAGTATGGTAGCACGACTAAGAAATTGGTCATTTGTTTTTTTACCACATATCAAAAAACATGGAATTATAAAACTTAAACAGACTTTCAGCTGACTACGTTCCTGGCATGAATGAGGTCCGTCCACAATTTACATACGGGGACGATAATTTGTCAGAAAGATCTCTCATGTTAAATTCTTTTATACCTACCTGGAAGTAGGGAGCAGGTGAAGGTTAACCTGGTGTTTACTGAAGGGTATGG